GGTGAGGGGGGAATAAAATGAATTGGAGCACCGTGGGCCACCTGGATAATTGATGTTTGGACTTTTAATCAATACAATTCAGGGCAAAATAAGCTACAGAATATGTATTTAAATAATAAAATACGCACCCTGTCCTGAAAGGAGGGGGGTGTATGTTTTCCTTTGCCTATTTTTTACCTATACCCAAAGAAATATCATCATACGTACACAGTATTCTTAGCTGGTGGGTCTTTGTGAATATTACTTATGTATAACACCATGAATATTAATATTGTCATTGAATTTGGGGAGGGGGAATATTTTTAATGATAAAACAACTGTTCAAAGTTGGTTTTTTAAGGTTAAACTAAAAAAAAAAAAACATTTATTCAATTCAGTGTACAATCTGTATTGCACTTTTTCACATTTTAATGCTACGTTTTCTTACATATCCTGTGATTTTAAATTTGGAACATTGTGTATCCTTGTAGTGTCATTGTCAAGCTGTTAAGTGACAGCTTCCCTCAGAGACATTTGGGGAAAAAACCAAACCTGTATATTGTTTTATGATTCTCATGTAGAATAATTTTGAGGACTGCTGTAGACGTCTACCTTTCTGTACAATTTTTTTGCTTTTCTGTAGTATTTGCTGTATACTCTATGGCTTTTTTTAATAACTTCATGTTTATTATTTTGTATTGGACATCCAATACACTTTTTTTAATCCAATCAAATTCTGGTCTGCTTGGAGAGTTTGTTCTCTTTTTAATTATTCCTATACCTTTTTTTTCCTTAGCCAGTATGGTGACCAGGTTTGGAATTTTACTCGCACATTTTTTGTTGTGGTTTGGTAGGTTGTGTCCTCCAGGGAAAGAAGAAGAACTGTTATTCCGCCCCGTCTTTGTGCAGATACTGAATATGTAGTGTCTGACTACCTCCCTTCCATTTCAAAGCTCCATAGCAAAAGTATCACCTTCTAACACGCAAGCATCAGAAGGAAGGGTTTCAAATCAGTGAAAGTACATTTAATAGCCTTAATAAACCAGCAAATCACATAAAAATACTGTAATTCTTTGAATATAGCACTTTGTGTCTATAGCTTTTACAGTGCAGTAATTGATAACCTTATTGTTACCCTCATGCTAACTCCAGCCTCTTTCTTTCAATACTAGAGACTCACGCTGATCATCAGCCTCTTCTCTGCAAGCCAGCCACTTTCCCCAGTTCCTCGTGTCCCATGTCCTTGGGAGCATCAGGCCATTCCTCAGCCTGACCTCTGCAAACAGGAACACAAGCTACTGCATTGTTTTGCACCCCCTGCTCCCCCCCTCCCTATTTTGCTAGTCAGATCCTTCTGTTCACTCGTTAAACTGTGCGACCACAGTGAGGTCTTAGGTGGGAACTGGATCCCAAAGTTCTCCTGAAGGGATGCCATGACCCTGCAGCTAGTCAGGGACTTCTCAGCCATGTTAGAATTGGTGGGGTGTGTGCATGTGTACAGGAAAGGAGAAATGGGGAAGAACAGCATTAATCATTAAGTTGGGCGTGTCACAAGGCACATCTGAGATGCAGACAGGCAGAGGGGATACAGCAAAAAATACCTTGCCCTCTACTTATTAGCCTTTAGCTTTAAAAGCAAAAGGATATTTCTTGCTAGGTTAGTCGGTGCAGATAGTTTGCTGTGCTATTTGCTTTGCAGATGAAGCCAGATGGAAAAGTTTAAGATAAACAGTTTTTACCAAGTAGCCCATTTTAAGAGAGATAGAAGTAATACGGGGGACCTGTGCCCCTCTGCGCTGCCGGGCAGTGCAGGCCAGGCACACTAGAGGGCAGCCATGACTTGCTGGTAAACAAAGCTGCGAAGCAAACCCACAGCCTACACCATTTTTGCATCCACCTGGAAGAGAATAAATTGTCTCTCTTCAGCCTAGGTTAAGGAGACTAGCTTTAGTGATGCTTTCTTGTTAGCAGCAGTTCAGTAAAGAAAAGCTGCAAACTATAGTTTTTTCATGCCTAGCTGTGGCTTTCGTTGATAGCACTTCGGCTTCCAACAGAGAAGCAAGGGGTTGCCTCAAACACCTTTGATAAATCGGTGCAACACTTTCAGGCTTTTTCCCATTAAGAACAGCCGCCTGTCTTAAGATGAATTGAGTCTGGATTTAAACTAACTCACTGTTCATCTCAAATAAAAGCATTCCTGTAGGGGCTCGACATGATTTAACTAAACTGCCTTTTGCCAAAAATGTTAAACCATTACAACTTTTCTGTGGGGCCAGGTCTCCCTAACCCAGCACAGGCTTCAGCCAGGTTACGTCTCCCCTTAACTACACGGGGGTGTGAACACACGCAGCCTGTGTAACTCTTAAAAGCCAAATGCTGAGCCGCAGTGTGACCCTCTGAAGCCTTCCATAAGCAGACACAGCAAAATTCCTGCCTCCAAAAAAGCTTGCCAGCTCTCCAGTGTGATGGACACCCTGGAAGTCAAGGGGACAATCATCCTAGCAAGCAAACGTGCAGGGCTGACAGGGGCAGAGGCAGCAGGCAGGACCAGTGGGTTTGGAAAAGGAAAGCCAACCCTTGGCAGGCACAATGTGGAAAAGCAGCAATGAGAATATGAGCGTAAGAGTGAAAGGGTGGCAAACACCCACAGATCAAGGCTGAACACCTGCCTTTTGAAAAGGCAGGAAAAGCCTGAATGTGATAGAGTGTCAGGGAGACAAATTAAAATGCAATGAGGGGGAGCAAAGAAGGATTCAGCCTATTCTGAGTGCTGCTGGGCCACCTTGCTGTGGGGGGAAGTGTTCTCCACCAGCTGAGAGAGGCTCTCTGATCAGGACTCCCTACATGCACTG